AGGCAGCCTTCGCTGAACCCTTTTTTAAATAATATTTTTATTAGTGATTCCAACATAACAATTTTAACACAAATGCATCATCCACATTATTTTCCTCCCATTCCCCCCCTCCGAAAGAAAAGAAAAAACCCACCCCCCAACTTCCCTCAGCTCCTGTTTCTCAACACGTAATTTTATCTGCATGTTATAAAATTGTAGAGATCCTCAATTTATCTATCTGTATATTACCCATAAAGAATTTATGAGTGTTTATTCAAAACCTGCCAAGGAGTCCAGTTCATTTTGTTGTTTCTTCAAATACTTTGTATAAGGTTGCCATTCATCTTTAAAGTCACAGTTTATCCTTGTCATGTATTGCTGAACTCTTTAAAAAAAATCATTATTATTATTAATATTATTATTTTCGCTGAACTCTTTTCAGCATCCTCTCAAAACATTTTTCTTTTAAGTTTTGAAACTTTGTTTGTGATTGTATTATCAGTAGTGAATATGTTAAAATTTGTTGTAAAACCTAATAAGTTTTTTTTAATAAAAAGGCAAGCCTATCTAGACACGGAGAAGCTGCACATGTTTTATCTCTTTCTCAGCTAGAGTTGATTTCAGTAATATTTTTAACACCTATTTTTAATAGCATTTCAAACCAACGAATTTAGCGTATCGTTTTACGCTGTTGTAAATACAATCCGGGGACGCAGGTGGCGCTGTGGGTTAAACCACAGAGACTAGGACTTGCCGATCAGAAAGCCGGCAGTTCGAATCCCTGCGACGGGGTGAGCTCCCGTTGCTCTGTCCCTGCTCCTGCCAACCTAGCAGTTCGAAAGCACGTCAAAGTGCAAGTAGATAAATAGGTACCACTCCGACGGGAAGGTAAACTGCGTTTCCGTGCGCTGCTCTGGTTCGCCAGAAGCGGCTTAGTCATGCTGGCCACATGACCCGGAAGCTGTACGCCGGCTCCCATTTGTACCCTTGCTCTTCATGGAACGCGGGTGGCGCTGTGGGTTAAACCACAGAGCCTAGGACTTGCTGAAGGTCGGCAGTTCGAATACCCACGACGGGGTGAGCTCCTGTTGCTCGGTCCCTGCTCCTGCCAACCTAGCAGTTCAAAAGCACGTCAAGTACAAGTAGATAAATAGGTACCAATCCGGCGGGAAGGTAAACTGCGTTTCCGTGCGCTGCTCTGGTTCGCCAGAAGCGGCTTAGTCATGCTGGCCACATGACCCGGAAGCTGTACGCCGGCTCCCTTGGCCAGTAAAGCAAGATGAGCAACCCCAGAGTCGTCTATGACTGGACCTAATGGTCAGGGGTCCCTTTACTTTTAAATACAATCCAGCAGGAAAAAGATAAGTAAGTAGGAACCGGGCAAAAAGCACTCAGTTGCAGAAGATGCCAGGCGATGAAGCTGGGACTATCTGTGTGCAAAGCTCTAAACCCCACAAGCTTGGGCCCTCCCTGTAAAAGTAAAAGTAAGGGTCTAGTCCTCAAGGTTCCGGTTTTAAGCAAAAGATGCTGCCTCAAACAGAGCCAGGCTCTCAGGTCCGCCTGGCTCCATACTGTCAACAAAGGCTGGTTGTTCTCTTTTGAAAGAAATGTACATGAAAATGATGTATAGATGGGTACACCAGTACAAATAGCAAAAATGTATAAAACTGGGTCAAATATATGCTGGAAATGTAAAGAAAAAGAAGATACCTTGGAGGAAATTCAAAGACTATTTAGCTAAATATGCTAAGATAATTTAAATAGAAATACTTGCAAGTACCAGACTGGCTTAGGATTTAAATATGTGATGTTATAGAATAATATGTTTAAAGTTAATATGAAAAGAAAGAAAGATGTTAATCGACTAAGTACATTTTATGAGAAATTAGTTTTGGAAAACTGTTACAATGATATACATTGAAACTCAGCCGGGGGACTCGAGGAAGTCACTTAACAATGTTAACAAAAGTGGAATTATTACAGTTAGGATTTATGTTTGTTTGTCTGGTTATGTTTGTTATAAATTTGGAAAATCAATAAAAAAAATTGAAAGAAAAAGAACAAGAAGGTACTTTTTAGCATATGTGGTGGGAATGTAGAGAAGTTTAAAAATTTTGGGAAATGATATATAACGAACTGAAAAAAATGTTTAAAATGACATTTTTTAAAAAAACCGTAAGTATTTTTGTTAGGGACTGTAGGACAAGACCTGCCAAGAAAAACATAGAATTTATTTATGGATGCTACAACAGCAGCAAGAGTCTTGTTAGCACAAGGATGGAAGAACGAGGAAATCCCAGCAAAAGAACAGTGGCGAGAAAAACTGGTGAGCTATGCGGAATTGGCCAAATTGACATACAAACTGCATGATAAGGACAATCGTGACTTCAAGGAAGAACTTTTTACAAATTATCTAAAAAGAAAACAAAAAGATTTGGACTCCTTGGCAGGTTTTGAATAAACACCCACAAACTTATTAGTTGAATACATGATAGATAAGGCAAGGATGGGGACCATTTTATAATATGCAGAGAACAATATGTGCAAAGAAACCGGAGAGGGGAGAAAATAATGTAATTGAATATTTGGATTGATAATTTGTTAGGTTGAAATGGTCTAATAAAAATGTATTTTTTAAAAACAACAACAACAAAGGCTGGTTGTGGTGGTCCAAGATTTCAGAGAGGGACATCTTTTTACAGCCCTGCCTGGAGATGCCTTTGGGGGGTCTTCTGATCCCCCCTGCCCACCCCCAGCTCACCTGGTCCTTCTGGTCATTGACATGCTGTCTCTCGTCATCGATCTGGATGGTCAGCTCCTTGACCTTCCGCTCCAGCTTGCGGTTCGAGGAGACCAGGACGCTCTTCTCCCTGCGGCAAGAAAAAGGGGGGAGCTGATTTCTTCAGAGTCCGATCACTGAGCTCAGCACTGCCTCCACTGAGCGGCAGCGGCTGTCCAGGGCTTCAGGCAGGGGAGATTTCCAGCAAAACGTGGAGGTGAATTCTGGTGCTGGAGGAGACTCTTGAGAGTCCCATGGACTGCAAGAAGATCCAACCTCTCCATTCTTAAGGAAATCAGCCCTGAGTGCTCACTGGAAGGACAGATTGTGAAGCTGAGGCTCCAAGACTTTGGCCACCTCATGAGAAGAGAAGACTCCCTGGAAAAGACCCTGATGTTGGGAAAGATGGAGGGCACAAGGAGAAGGGGATGGCAGAGGACGAGGTGGTGGGACAGTGTTCTCGAAGCTACCAGCATGAGTTTGACCAAACTGCGGGAGGCAGTGGAAGACAGGAGTGCCTGGCGTGCTCTGGTCCAGGGGGTCACGAAGAGGCGGACACGACTAAATGACTAAACAACAACAATGGAGGTTCTGGGGGTCTTCTGCAAGCAAGGCAGGTGCTGTGTCGCTTATCCGAGGCACAGACGGGGGGAACTTTGGTCCTTGGGGTATCGCTGAACTACAACTCCCACCAGCCTCTACCTCTCTTTCAAATCAGAACCAGTGAAGACAGTGAAGGTTCTGTGTGAGTGTCTGGAGGCGGTTGGAGGATGGATAGCGGTAACAGACTGAGGTTGAATCCTGACAAGACAGAAGTACTGTTTTGGGGGGACAGGAGGCTGGCAGGTGTGGAGGACTCCCTGGTCCTGAATGGGGCAACTGTGCCCCTGAAGGACCAGGTGCGCAGCCTGGGAGTCATTTGGGACTCACAGCTGTCCATGGAGGCGCAGGTCAATTCTGTGTCCAGGGCAGCTGTCTACCAGCTCCATCTGGTACGCAGGATGAGATCCTACCTGCCCGCAGACTGTCTCGCCAGAGTGGTGCATGCTCTGGTTGTCTCCCGCTTGGACTACTGCAATGCGCTCTACGTGGGGCTACCTTTGAAGGTGACCCGGAAACTGCAATTAACCCAGAATGCGGCAGCTAGACTGGGGACTGGGAGCGGCCGCCAAGACCACATAATACCGGTCTTGAAAGACCTACACTGGCTCCCAGTACGTTTCCAAGCACAATTCAAAGTGTTGGTGCTGACACTTTGGCGCAGTATACCTGAAGGAGTGTCTCCATCCCCATTGTTCTGCCCAGACACTGAGGTCCAGCTCCGAAGGCCTTCTGGTGTTTCCCTCACTGCGAGAAGCCAAGTTACAGGGAACCAGGCAGAGGGCCTTCTCGGTAGTGGCACCTGCCCTGTGGAACACCCTCCCATCAGATGTCAAAGAGAAGAACAACTACCAAACTTTTAGAAGACATTTGAAGGCAGTCTTGTTTAGGTTTAGCTTTTAATGTTTGATGGATTACTTTATTTTAATATTTGGTTGGAAGCCACCCAGAGTGGCTGGGGAAGCCCAGCCAGATGGGTGGGGTATAAATAAATTATTATTATTATTATTATTATTATTATTACTTGCCAGGCCAGTATTGCAGAGGGGTTGCCAAGACATTTTATCTATTCGTAAGATTTGAAGGATTTGCGAGTGGAAAGAACTATTGGGAAAGGGTTTCCAAGATAGCTTGGGGTTTGCTCTGTGATGATTAAATAATAAACTAACAACAACAACAACAATAATAATAATACAGAAACAAATAAATTTTGACTATCCTCATCAACATCTCGGGGAATATTTCCTAATTTTTGTTGAATAACTGGTTTCCTGTGAATTGTGTGTGTCCACTATTTGTGTGCACCTTTAAATTTTTAAAACAACCAGCAACAATCGCAGTCAATTTATTGCCACCAGGCCCACGCTGGGGAACGCTTTTCCAGCAGAGATGCGACGGGCACCCTCTTGTTTTTGGCTTCCAGGCGTTTCTTCAAGAATCTTCCATGTTGATGCTTCGAATTTTCTTGAGTAGCCAGCCACGTGGCTGATCGTTCTGTATTGCTTATAAAGGTTTTACGCATCGATGTACACTGCACATTGATGTTTTGTGAGAGGGTGGTACAAAAATACTTCCCTAAATAAATTCCAAAGACCCCACCGTATAGGTTTACTGCGCTTCTATCCCACCATTTTCTGCAAGGAGCTTGAGGCGGCACATGCCATTTCCCCTACAATCTCCGCATTTAATCCCCACAACAACCCTGTGGGGTAGGTCGGGCCGAGAGGGACAGTGACTGGTCCAAGGCCACACCCAGAGAACTTCATAGCTTAGAGGTCCCAGGCCCTAAGGAAGCCAGACTATCCTCCACCAGGGCCTTTTCAGTGATGGCTCCGACCTGGTGGAATGCTCTGTCCCAGGAGACCAGGGCCCTGCAGGATTTAACCTCCTTCTGCAGTGCCTGTAAGACAGAGCTATTCCGCCTGGCCTTTAATTTGAATTCAGCCTGATCTTTTATTTCCCTTCTCTTCCCTCCCCTTTTATGAAGATCACCTGCTCTGAGACCCCACAGCTAATTCCCTTCTCTTCCCCCCCCTCCCCTTTTATGAAGATCACCCGCTCTGGGACCCCACAGCTAATTCTCCCCTGGTCTCCTCGCTGGCCCAAGTAGGACCAATTCAGCCAGCTAGCCCTGGGGATTATCTAATTGCTTTTTTATTTTTATTGTTATTCATGTTTTTATACTGTATTTTATGCTGCTTTTATAATTAAGTGTTTTAAATTTGTTGTTAGCCACCCTGAGCCCGGTTTTTGAACCAGGAAGGGCGGGGTATAAATATTATTATTATTATTATTATTATTATTATTATTATTAATCACTGAGCAGGGTACCTGAACCCCGGTTTCCCCCATGACACTCTGACCACTACCCCACACTCCCTCTCCGCGACTTACCTCTCTTCAGCCTGGAGTTTGTCCTGAAGCTCTTGAATGCGCGATTCCAGCTGGGAGACGTTGGCACTGGGCTTCTGGAGAACTTCGCTGCTGGCGAGGCGGCTTTTCAAGTCTTTGTTCTGGAAAGAGAGATTTGGAAGCGGGGATATTTAGAGATTTAGAGAGGAAATGACCAGCAGCCGGGGACAAGTTCCTGCATGACCTGTATTAAGTTGTGGGTGAGCATATCAGACGACACAGCGATTCTTCAAACAGCTCTTGTTTATTCACAGGCCAGAACAGAACTGAACTGAAGGGTTCAGCCAGCCTGCTTATATAGAGCTCCACTACAACGCAACTGTAACCACTTCCTGTAACTATCCAATCACTGAACGTCACTTTCAATCCCTTATTTGCATATGTGGACCTGAGTGAAAACTATCTACAGTATTCCCCTGCTGGCCCAGGGTGAGAACTTCAGTATATAACAATCTGGAAGGGACTTCTGTGGCTAGGATTGCCACCTTTGCTCCGGCAAAACACTCTC